ACGCCTCGCGGTAGACGTGCTGCCACGCAGCCTACTTGCACCAGGAGGGGAATGTCCTCCTCCCCCTCATCCTCCTCCTCCCCATCATCACCCCCTTCTCCTCATCCTGTTCCTCCTCCGTCGCACCATCATCATCATCATCATCATCAGCAGCAGCAGCAGCAGCAGCAGCATCATCATCACCGTCGTCATCAGCACCATCAGCAGCATCAGCAGCATCATCAGGATCATCAACAACATCAACATCATTGCCAGCATCATCATCGTCATCATCATTAGCACTACCATTACCATCCTCAGAGTCGTCATCATCATCACTATCAGCACCATCATCAGCATCAGCATCAGCATCAGCATCATCATCACCATCAGCAGCATTATCATCATCAACAGCAACAGCACCATCCTCATCCTCATCCTCCCCACGTCCTCATCCGCACCTGTATTTAGCATCCTGCTCATCCTCCTCTCATCTGTTTCGTCGATCCTCATCTGTTGTCCTCTTCGTAATCCTCGTTCCTCGATCCTCCCACTGGTGCCTCCACCGTCTTCTGGGAGAATAGCCTCCCGTCGCCAAGGATCTGCAGCTCCTCTGCCAGTGGGTACCATGCCTGTCCAGGCATCTTCGTCGTCTGCCTCGTTCTCCTCGGTCCGCCTCGTCCCCTCAGGCCCCTCCCCTCCAAACCCTTTTACATCGAACCAGGGACCTTAATGTCCCTGCTTCGATCGCCCTCGAGGGGGCGAGGAGACGAGGCGGACGAGGCAGTAGAGGAGGACGAGGCCCGACGACGAGGATGCCTGCAAGTCTGCTTTGTTCGGCCTGCTCGTCATTTTGGCGCTGTACGTTGTGTAATCTGGGATATGCGTGTTCGTGAACACTGGCTCACCGTCGCGTCTCTCCAGCGCCTGACGGCGCCCAGGGTCCCTCCTCCTCCTCCTCCTCCTCCACCTCCTCCTCCCCCTGCTCCTCCTCCTCTCCCTCCTCAAACTCCGTGTTCTCGTCCTCCTCCTCCTCCTCCTCTTCCTCCTCCTCCTCCTCCTCCTGGTTGCGCCTTCGCCAATTCTATAGCGTCGACCCTTGCGGTGCTCTGGCGTCTGAATGTGCTGCGCTTCTCGTCGGGTGCCGATGGAGGTGGTGAAGACGAGGACGACGAGAAGAAAACCCAGACATCCGACGTCTCGATTTTTTCGAGACGCGGGCCCCCGACCCGACCACTTCCCTGGGACCTCTTTTTTTCTCAACCCGAGTCGTTTTTTGACGGTCCCGCGGCGAGGGCTCCGAGAGGCCAAAAACTATGAAACACCGTTGTCTCGATTTTTTCGAGACGCCCGATGTCTGGGAAGGATGAGGATGAGGATCGAGGAGGAGGAGGAGGAGCAGGAGGAGGTGGAGGAAGACGCAAGAGGGAGGACGAGGGAAGAGCAGGGAAGAGAGGATGCAGGAGGAAGATGGAGGAGGGGAAGGGAAGGAAGCGAGAATGAGGGAGCAGGGCCGAAACAGAAAGGACGTGCGAAATGTATGATCATAGGACACGGGAGGAGGAGGGAAGTAGGAGAAGTCAGTCATTGCTTAGGAGGAGGCGGAGGCGGAGAGGAGAGGGGTGAGGAGATTAGCTGAGGATTAGGAGGTTCGGAGAGGAGGATGAGGAGGAGGAGGAGGAGGAGGAGGAGGAAGATCGAGGAGGAGGAGGAGGAGGAGGAGGAGGAGGAGGAGGAGGACGGGGAGGAGGAAGGAAGCAGGATAATTAGGAGGGCTGGAGGAGGGCCTCCAGGCCGGGCCCGCCGCTGCTGGCGGGGCTCGCCATGCGGTGCGGCGCTCGATCGGCGGCGCTCGCGCGCTTGATCGGCGGCGCTAGAGCCTCGAACCGGCAGTCCCGCGCGCAGTAGACGTCCCCGAGACGCCCGCCCGAGACTGGACCTCTTACGGGCTACCCTTGTGGAGGCAAGAAGCCCCTCCCGAGACGCCCGCCCGAGACTGGACTTCTTACAGACACCCCTCCCGAGACGCCCGCCCGAGACTGGACCTCTTACGGGCTACCCTTGTGGAGACAAGAAGCCCCTCCCAAGACACCCCCCCGTGACAGGACCTCTTAGTGGCTACCATTGTGGAGGCAAGACACCCCTCCCGAGACGCCCGCCCGAGACTGGACCTCTTACGGGCTACCCTTGTGGAGACGAGAAGCCCCTCCCAAGACACCCCCCCGAGACAGGACCTCTTAGTGGCTACCATTGTGGAGGCAAGACACCCCTCCCGAGACGCCCGCCCGAGACTGGACCTCTTACGGGCTACCCTAGGCAAGACACCCCTCCCAAGACACCCCCCCCGAGACTGGACTCCTGACTGGCTACCCTTGTGGAGGCAAGACACCCCTCCCGAGACGCCCGCCCGAGACTGGACCTCTTACTTGCTACTTTGTGGAGGCAAGACACCCCTCCCGAGACGCCTACCCCATTAAGAGCCGACGGTCCCGCGCGCAGTTCCAGCCGACCCCCTGGGGATCGACTGTCTCGCGCGCAGTCCCAGCCGACCCCCTGGGAAGCCGACTGCCTGCCGACGGTCCCGCGCGCAGTCCCAGCCGACCCCCTGGGGACCGACGGTCCCGCGCGCAGGTCCAGCCGACCGCGGGCCGACGCTCCCGCGCGCAGTCCCAGCCGACCCCCTTGGGAGCCGACGGCCCCGCGCACGTGCAGGGCATGTACGTGTGCATACATAATACAATATGATGTACGACAGCATATGCTATCATTTATTAGGTATGATACCATCATTTACTAGATTAGAGTAGTCTATTGTACTGTATGTGATGTAACACGGCCCAATATCATGTCATTCGTTTGTGTGGATCGGCCATGAATTATTTATACATTTATGTCGATAATTTTTATATATATATATATATATATAGACGTGTGTGCATATTGCACCTGTGTGCGATATGTGTATTTCATACATCTGTAGATGTGGTGGTGATCTGTGTCACAACGCCCAGCGTTAAGAACCGCCGTGGCCACTCGAGCATTCATAATGTTGCTACACGCCACCCCGAAAACTCAATGCTGAAAGCCACATGTTCCACTTGTATTCTACGCCTCAACATGTGATTCAGTATGGTGAAGCATCGCAGTCTTCTTGCGCAAACACAGGGCTGACACGCGTCACCCCGAAAATGGTTCACTCCATTTGTTTCACTTGAATTGTGGGCGTTTTCATATTACGCAAGCGCGTGTGACACGTGTCACTGGTCAAAACCAAGCGTTTCACTTGTATCCTGGGCCTCAATATGGTGAAACAATAATATGTTTACTATTTCGCGGGTGGGCGGCCCAAAAACTGAATGGTGAACAAAAAACAAATCGTTGCACTTGCCTCCACATACCATTAATCATATCGTGCAACAGTGTAGATTCTGTAGAATTGCACCCGTATCAATTGCATTGCTTGCCTCAACATGAGGAAATATGTGAAGCGACGGAACAGTGTTCATGTGGTTTGTGGCCGTCAACATGAAATGATACGATGCTGTACATTATCATAACATGTTCGCTATCTTCTTTTTAAGATCCTACCGAAAAACCAAGACATCTCAAGTTCTACACCAAAAACCAAGACAATGCAGAAAAACCAAGACAATAGGCCGGCATGAAAAAACCATTACGTCAGGATGTGTGGGTTTTGCTAGGGCAGGACGGAGGCCGACTGCGGCTCTCGCGAGGAGCCCGCAGCTTCCTGCCGCCCCCTCTGCCGGGTGGCACGGGCCGCCGACTTCGCGGCGGGAGTAGCCGGGCCGGGCAGCTTGGGCGAGAGTCTCGGACTGTTGGCGAGGTCAACGACCTTGTCGACGCCATCTACTGGATGTCGGGCTACCAGTCTCAGCCTGGCCCCGCCAATGACAGCAGCTGGACATACTTGCGCTCTTCGAGGGCCTCGTGCGGGGCCGGCAGCCAGGCGCCAAGTTGCGCGGACCGCAGGCGGCCCTCCGGGAGCTGCCGCGGGGCCGCTCGCCCTATGACGGGCGGGGCGGCCCGACGACGGTCGCCTCCTACAGCGCAGGGCTCGCCAGCGTGCCGACGGATGCGCGGAGCTGCCTGCGCCTTGAGGATCTTTTGCCCGGCGAGACCTTTTCTTTCCTGAAGGAGCGCCAAGAGCGCATGCTACGGCAGGCCCCTTTGTCGACCGACGTCGAGCCGTACTTCGACACATTCCTCCAGTTCAACCACAAGGAGTGCCGCGGCCTGGTGCGTCGGCCGCTGTCTGCTTGAACGCTGCGACGGACTCTGTCACAGACAGAGAGAATTTTTGTTTTCTGCGTGGAAGGATGGGCAGAATCGACTCCGCCTCATAGTGGGCGCCCGCTGGGTTAACCTTCACTTTCGCGATCCACCTGGCGCGGAGCTCTCGAGCAGCGAGGGCCTCGCCAATATCGAGTTGCACCTGCCGACCGAGGGCTTCACGAGCTACGAGGACCTTCGCGAGGCGCTGGAGGCGCAGCAGTTTTCACCAGTTTCGGCTCGACTCAGACCTCTCTCGTTATTTTTGTTTGCCTTCGGTCAAGGCAGGCTCTTTCGGCATCGCCGAGGTCGATGGCATCGAGGTGGGCGCGTCGGCGGCCATCTATCCGCGCTGGCAGGTCCTGTCCATGGGCTTCAGCTGGTCGCTGTACTTTGCCCAGCGGGCCAACGAGAAGGTCAGCCGCCGCGGCGGCCCGCTCCCGACGCAGCCGGGGCTCTCATTCCATGGCCCGCCGCTGGTCTTCGCGCCAGGCGAGGCGGCCCGGGAGGTCAGGCACCGTGTCTACGTCGACAACCTGGGGTTCTTCTCGCTGTTCTTCCAGCTCGCTTCCGGCGCGATGGATCAGCTGGCGGGCAATTTCACCGAGCTGGAGCTGGTGCTGCACAAGGATGAGCTGGTGCCGGGCATGGCCGTGGCGCTTGGCACCGAGCTCGACGGGGGGCAGTTGCGCACGTGAGTCACAGGTGATCGGTTCTGGCGCCGCCGCCAGGCCGAGCGAGGCCTGCTGGCCCGCCGCCGCGTCCAGGGCTGGGCAGTGGAGGCCGTGCTGGGCCACCTGACTTTTTGCGGTCTCTGCTCCCGCGGCGCGCTGTCGGTTTTCAAGTCGGTGCGTGGCTTCGCGCAGGCGCACTATGACTACCTGGCCGTGCTCTGGGCCGAGGCGCGACGGGAGCTGGCGGCCATCAGCTCCTTGACCTACGTTTTGGGGTCCGACTGGCGACCCCCCTGGAAACCGATGGCGCAGCAGTCGGACGCCGGCCTCCATGGCCACGGGCTGGCGCGGGCTTTCTGGCCGCGGGAGTGGGTGGAGTCAGTCGGACGCGTGCCTGAACGGGCCCGCTTCCGACGGCGCTGCGCACGGCGCCCGAGAGGCCTCGCTCTGCGCCGCAGGCTTTGGACAGGAAGAGAGGAAAATTGGAGTTCAGGGGCCTTCCCGAGGACGAGGAGCAGCTGAGCCAGTGGGCCGTGGTGGGGGACTTCCCAGAGGTCCCAGCTCGGGGGCTCCGCGCAGGTCTGTGGGGGCCTTGTTTCGCTAGAGCCTGGCAGCGCCCCGAAGGCGCCCTCGCGCTGGAGGGCCGCGCCCTGGTCAGCAGTATCCATCTCATCGCCGCGACAGTCTTTGGGCCCCATATACGTCAGCTCCTGCTCTGCGACAACATGTCGGTAGTGTTAAGCTTCAATCGTGGGCGGAGCTCGCGTTTCAACCTGTTGATCCAGATTCGACGATTTTACCCTGTATGCCTATGCCGAAACATTCGCTGTTCGGTTCGATTCGGTGGATCCCCAGCGAGCTCAGCTGCGCCGACGTCCCCTCGCGGTAGTCCGATCCAGACGGCGCGGAGCCTACGCTACTGGAAGAGTTGCTGGAGCTCGAGCTGTCCCGGGAGGGGCCGCCCTCGGCTCGAGCCCTCGGCGCCGCCGAAGCTGGGCCGGGAATTCCACCCGAGCCGCCCCCTCGCTGCCGACGGCGCCGACGCCGCTGGCAGCGACCCGGCGCGAGCGGCAGCTGGGCGAGTCGATGCTTTTGCGGGCGGCCGTGCTGTTGCGGCCCTTGCCGCGGAGCTGGGCCAGGTAGTGGAGGGCCCGGGGAAGGGGCCGATGCCGACGGGGCCCGCGCGGGCAGCGCCCGCGAGCGCCGTCTCCTCAGACAGCGCGAGCTCCGGGCCCGAGGGCGTGACCGGCGCCGCGCGGCAGCGCAGGCTCGCGCAGTCGCAGAAGCGCCGGGCTCGCCACTGCGGCATGCCGGCCAGCGGGGAGGACTTCCCTCTTGGAGCGCGAGGCCGCGCGGGCCCCGACGCAGCGCGAGTACCTGAGGGCCTGGGACGGCTGGCGGGACTTCGCCCGCAGGAGCTGGCCCTCGGTGGGCGTCGCACCGCTCGTGAGTGGCCGCGACGACTCGGCGGTGGATGCGGCTCCGGTGAACTACTTGGACGGGCTGCACCAAGCCGGGGCGCGCCTCTCCTGGGCCGAGAAGCTCATGGCGGGCGTTCTCCACTTGAACCCAGACTTCACGCGCCATGGCGCCCGGCGCCTCCCCCGGGGCTGGAGATGCCTCCGGGCCTGGCGGCGCATGGAGCTTCCGCGGACGAGGAAGCCGTGGGCGCTGGGGCCGTGGCGCGCGATGGCCTGGCGCATGAAGGCACGGGGCAGTCTCCAGACGGCGGTGTTCACCCTGATCGCGGTGAGCGCGCGCGCCCGCCCCAGCAGCCTCCTGCGCCTGAAGCCGTCCTGCCTGGCGCCGCCGGCGACGGGTGCGCGCGAGTCCTGGACCCTCAGGCTCTTCCTGGGGGAGGAGCTGCGGGGCAAGACGGGCCTGGGGGGCGCGTCGCTAGAGTTAGACTCGCGTTGGATTCGCTTCGTGGACCCCGTGCTTCGCCAGTTGCGCCTGTGGGACTTCACTTATCCCGAGTATTGCAGGATGTTCAGCCTGCGCCTCCAAGACTTGGAGGTGCGCGCCAAGATGGTGCCCTACCAGATGCGCCACTCGGGCGCCCCAATAGACATGGCAAGGAAGTGGCGGCGGCTGGGGGTGGAAGACCACCCGCAGCGTCGCACGCTATCAGAAGCACGCCAGGGCGGCGGCCACGTGGGCGACTTTCACCAGCACCCAGCAGGACATGTTCTTGGTCTGCAAGGCCCAGCTCGCGGACATCATTTTGGGTCGCGCCTCGCCGGTCGACTTGTGAGAGCTCGGCCCCGCCTGGTTGGCCTCTACCTGGCAGACAGCTTCAGCGGCATGGGCGGCGTGGGTCGCGCCGCGATGGCCAGCGGAGTGCCGGTCAGGTTCCGGGGTCCGCAGCGCGGGTCAGCTGGCGACCTCACCCAGCGCTCGGTCTGGCGAGGACTGTCTTCGGACATCGCGAAGGGCCGCGTCTTGGCTGCGACGTTGGCCCTGCCGCGCGGGCCCTGGACCGCGGCGGCCGACCGGGTGGGCGCCATCCGTTCCGCCTCGATGCCCTGGGGGCTCCCTCGCCACCTCCTGAGTGAGCAGCAGTTGGCCCGCCTGGCATCAGGAAATAAGACCATGCGGGCCGCCCCAGCAATTCTAAGATGTAGCGAGAAGTTCGAAGTGCCTTGCATTCTCGAGCACCCTGTCAATTCGCGTTTTTTTTTTTTTTTTTTTTTTTTTTTTTTTTTTTTTTTTTTTTTTTTTTTTTTTTTTTTTTTTTTTTTTTTTTTTTTTTTTTTTTTTTTTTATATATATATATATATTAAGGGAGAGGTTCAGGGCTATGTAAATCGAGGGGCCAACGCGAGGTGTCTCGACCAGTGTCAGGAGGGAGCTCGCTGGCGGAAGCTAATTAGATTTCTTCGCCTCAACATTGACCGATTAGATAGCGGTTGCCTCACCCGCCGTTGTTGTCAAATCAATGGAGTTTGCTCTAAGTCTGGCCGTCAACACATCGCGCTTGAGGGTAACGCCCCAGATGGTGCGAAATGGACGGCTATCGCCGCTGCTTGCCCGCCTGCTCTCAACAGAAAACTGGCTAAAGTTCTTTTCAGTGAATGGCGCGCGTCTTTTTGCAATGACCCTATCCCGCCCTCCCAATGAGCGATTCGGGGTGCGGCTTGGGTTGAATGTGGCTTCGCAGCTGAGCGCTACGACGCGCGGCTGCTCGTTCATTAGGGTCTCCGCTGTGAAAAAGCTCGGGACGTCCTGGCTTGTGCCTGCACGTGAAGGAAGTATCGGGGTGATGTCATGTCTGTCGCCCCTTTGGCTCCGTCCTTTTCACATCGCACATTCGCTTCTCTGGCCCCCCGCCCCGCGAACCCTCTCAACCGAGTCCGCGCCGTGCGCGCGTCCCTGCACACTTTTGTTTCCTGTCTATTCTCTCTAAGGTTGAATGTGGCCTCGCAACTGAGCGCTACGACGCGTGGCTGTCTGTTCATCGGGGTCTCCGCCGCGAAAAAGCTCGGGGCGTCCATGATTTTGGCCTCTCTGGGCCCTGCTGGAGGACCTCTTGGAAACCTCTTGGGCAGTCTCGGAGGCTTCTTGGGTGAGCTTGGAGGCATCTTGGACCCTCTTGGGCCGTCTTGGAGGCCATTTAGGACAATATTTGGCGGACTTGGAGGCCATCTTGGAGACCATCTTGGGCCGACGTGGCCATCTTGGGGGCCATGTTGGACCGCCTTGGATGATTTGTCGGGGGAATTGGGCTCCTCGAAAATCGCCCCGGGACCCCGGCAGGACGCGCTGGAGCCCCAGAGGGAGCTTTTTTGGAAAAGAACCAAAAACAAAACCGAAAGGGTTCAGCACGCCAGGCACCCCTGTTATGAATCAACAAGGGGGCGGCGGATTGAATGGCCTTCGGCACATCCCGCCACCGTGCCTGGGTGGCGGGTTTGAGGCCAATCGGATGGCTCATGGGGTCTCGTTGGGGGCGTCTCGTGTCTTCTTGGAGGCAGTTTCTGAACCTCTTGAGGGCCTTTTGCGACCACCTTGGGGCTCCCAGGGGGCCCATTGGGGGCTTCTTGGGGCAACCCGGAGGCGTCTAGGGGTGGATGACTCGAAATGTCCGTTCGGGTTCCCCCTCTGGGCCCCCTCTTGGGGCTGTCCTGGGGCCCCCTTGGGCCTTCCATGGGGGTTTCTCAGGCCGTTTTGGGGCCGTCTCGGGTCGTGCTGGAGCCATCATTGCCTCTTGGGGCGAATTTGAAGGCCTCTTGGGCCGTCTGTCTGGGACATTGTGAATGCCATAAACGCACGTCATCCGAAGGGGAAGAGGCGATTTTTGCTTCAGGGGGCCCTGTTGGGGCGTCTCTTGTAAGCTTTTTGGGGCGCCTTGGGGGCCTCTTCGGCCGTCTGGAGGCCCTCGTGGGCGTTTTGGATCGATTCTTCAGCGACTCATGGACCGCTCCAAGGGCCTCTTGGGGCCCTCCTGGTGTGTTTTGGGGCCCTCTGCCCCCGTGGGTGCGTTCAGCCGGATCCCGGGGGACCCCCTGCCCTCCAAATCGACTGGACTGGGTTCCCGGGGGAGCGGCTCGGGGAGGGGTCGGCGGACCTCTTGGGTTTTTTGGGGGCCGTCTTGGGTCGACTCGGGAGCCTTCGTGGTCTGTCGTGGACGTTGTGATATCAGAAGAGGCGAACGTACAAAAAAAACGCGAGTGCCTATGTGAATGATGATGTTTTGTTCTTGGAGGCCGTCTTGGGACGCCTCGTAAGGGTTTCGTGGAGCGTCTTTGGGGCATTTGCGGCCGTCTGGAGGCCAGCATGGGTGTTTTCGATCGATCCTTGGGCGGTTCGTGAGCCTCTTGGGCCGTCGAGAGGGCCTTGTGATGCTGCCGTGGCATGTTTCGTGGCGTTTCTTGAGCGATCGTGAGTCCCTCGTAGGTCATCTGAAAGCCCTCTGGGATGTCCCGTGAGCCACTTTGGAGCGGCATAGAGGGGTTCGAGGGCTGTCGTGAGTGTTGTGGCCACAGGAGATGCGACTGTGCCAGGCACACATGTTTTCCAATGTAAGTGAAGCGAGTGTTGCTCGTGGGTGCCGTACTGAGGCGACTCTTGAGGGCTTCGTGGGGCGTCTCGGGGTATTGGGGCCGTCTGGAGGCCAGCGTGGGCGTTTGCGATTGTTGTTTCGACGGTTCGTGGTCCTCATGGGTCGTCCCAAAAACCTCGTGGTGGCCGCTTGGCTTGTTGTGTGGTGCTGTGTGCGCGGTTTTGGGGCTTCGTCGGTCGCCTGAGAGACCTCTTGAGGGTCTCGTGCGCCGCGGGGGGGGGGCGACTCGGGAGACTTCGTGGTGGGTGGTGTGATCGCAGGAGAGGCGACTGTGCCAAAAATGCAGGGGTTCCAATGTGAATGAAACGACGGTTGCTCTTGAGGGCCGACATTGGGCGGCTCTTGAGGGTTTCGTGGGGCGTCTTGGGGCTTGGGGGGGCCGTTTGGAGGCCAGCGTGCGGGTTTTCGATCGGCCCGTCGACGGCTTGTGGCCCTGTGGACCGTCCGAAGGACCTCGTGGTGGCCGCTTGGCCTGTTTTGTAGTGTTTTATTTGCGGTTTGGGGGCTTCCTTGGGACGTCTGAGAGACCTTTTGGAGGCCTCTTTGGCCGTCTTGGGGCGACTCCAGAGGCTTCTTGGGCGAGCTTGGACTTAGGGTGCGCAGAAGAGGCGCACGTGCTAAAACAAAACATGTTTCCCGTGGAAATGATATGTATTTTCTCCCCGAAGCCGTCGTGGAACGCCTCGTGAGCGCTGCTTGGAGCGTCTTTGGAGCCTCTGGGGCCGTCTGGAGGCCAGCGTGGGCGGTTTTCATCGATCTTCTGGCGGTTTGTATCCTTCTTGGACCGCCCAGAGGGCCTTTGGATGCCTTTTGGATGTCTCGTGCGCCGTCCTGGGGCGACACAAGGGGGCTTCGTGGGCTGTCGTGGGTGTCGTGATCGCAGGAGAGGCGACTGCCTGGAAGGCAGGGTTCCCGTGCTCGTAAATGAACATGCATGTGTGACTGTGCATGTAAATGAAGCGATGTGTGTTCGTGGGAGCCGTCTTGAGTCGGATTTTGCGGTTTTCGTGGGGCGTCTCGAGGTTTGTTGGGCCGTCTGGAGGCCAACGTGGGCGTTTTGAATCTCTCTCGACGGCAAATGGCCCTCGTGGACCGTCCTGAGGACCTCGTGACGGACGCTTGGCCTGTCTGGTCGTGTTTTGTGAGCGGTCTTGGGGCCCTCGTGGGCCCTCTCAAAGACCTCTTGGAGGCCTCTTGGGCTATGTAAGGGCGACTCCGGATGCTTCGTGGGGTGTCGTGAACGCTGAATTACACATGCAAGGTGTCCTGTGAAAATTATGGGTTTGTGCTGGCGGAGGCCGTCGTGGGAGGCCTCGTGAGGGTTTCTTGGAGTTTCTCTGGAGCCTTCTGCGGCCGTGTAAAGGCCAGCGTGGGCGTTTTCGATCCATCTGACGGCGGTTCGTGGTTCTCTCGTACCGTCCAGAGTGCCTTGTGGTGCCCTCGTGGCATGGTTTGTAGAGCTTCTTGAGCGATCTTGAGACCCTCTTGGGTCGTCTGAGAGCCATCTTAGAAGCCTCGTGGGCCGTCGTGGGGCGACCCAGGAAGCTTTTTGGGTTGTTGTGAGTGTTGTGATCGCAGGGGAGGCGACTGTGCCAAAAATGCAGGTTGTCCACCGTAAATAAAGCGATGTTTGCTCTTGGGGGCTGTTTTGGGGCGACTCTTGATGGTTTCGTGGAGCGTCTTGGGAGTTTCTTGGGCCGTGTGGGGGCCCGCGTGGGCGTTGGCGATGGATCTTTCGACGGGCCGTGACGCAAGGGGAAGCGGGCGAGATCCCATGCAGACCGCGGGCACCTGTCAAAACACCTGACGAATGATAATCGAATGGCTTTAGGCACATCCTGCCACCGTGCCTGGGTTGCGGGTCTGAGGCCACTCGGATGGCTGACGGGGTCTCGTGGGAGGCGTCCCGGGGGCGTTTTGGAGGCAGTTTTTGAACCTCTTGGGGGCCACCTGGGGGCCTCTTGGGGGACTTTCGCGACCATCTTGGGGCTTGGGAGCTTGTTGGGCGTCTTGGAGGCCTCGTGGGCCGTCCAGAGGCCAGTGCGGGCGTTTTGGATTGATTTTTCAGCGACTCGTGGCGCCCGTGGACCGCCTCACGGGCCTCTTGGAGCCCTCTTGGCTTGTTTGGGGGCCCTCTGCCCCTCCGGGTGCGTTCACCCAGATCCTGGGGGACCTCCCCCCCTGGATAGCGGCAAGCGGGCTCCTGGACCATCTTGCAAGTCATGGAAATGGGTTTCGGACTCCTCGGGGCCAGACCCTCGGGTTTCGAGTTTTAGGCCCTCGGCGCCAGGCCCTAAGTTCGATGCTCCTCCAACGCCCAAATCCAATCGGTGAACGTTAAGGGTTCACTTGGGTTTCCATTCCAACATGGTGTTTTTCTTCTTTTGAAAAACGTAGACTGTGCATGCTAACTTGAAAATCCAATCGGTCACCGTGAGAGGTTGACTTGAGTTTCCAGGCCAACAGGGCGACTTGTCGATTGTGGACAATGGATAATACAAAATTCGAACGCGCGCGCG